CTCATCCCGTTGCCTTTTGGGGTTAAAAAATGGTTTTTCAGAACCAGCACCTTGGGGTCACAGCCGTAGCAGAGAACATGGCCTCTGAGCAGTGACACATGGAGCTGTGGCTGTCACGTGGTGGTGGTGGCATTTCTGAGTCTAAAAACCTTCATCCCTTTGCCTTTTGGGGCTAAAAAAGGGGATTTTTCAGAACCATCAAAACCTGTGGGTCCCACACGGTACTGGTGGCATTTCTGGGGCTGAAAATTCTCATTCCATTGCCTTTCGGGGCTAAAAGATGATTTTTCAGAACCAAAAAACCCTGTGGCTCTGACATGGTGGTGGTGGTGCCATTTCTGGGGTGAAAACGCTCGTCTCGTTGCCTTTTGGGGTTAAAAAAGAATTTTATAGAACCAGCAAACCCTGTGGCTCTGATGTGGTGGTGGTGCCATTTCTGGGGCTGGAAATTTTCATCCAGTTGCCTTTTGGGGTTCAAAACCAATTTTTCCAAACCATCAAACCCCGGGGTCTTGCATTTCCTCACCCACGTTCTTCCCACCCCCATGGACGGACAGCACATCCCACCTCCCCCCACGTCCACCTGCCGTTCCCAGGGAATGACCCCAAATCCCGGGATGCTCTGGATCCCCAGGGAAAGGCCGGCAGCCCCATGAACTTCCCCCAGCCAGGGCCACCGGCCACCCCTGGCCATCCCTGCCCGGGCACGGCGGAGCAAACATCCATTCTTTTCTCTTGGAAGACACCCGGGGCGGAAACGCTTGGAAGCGGCCCCGAAAGGACATTCCAAGTCTGGCAGGAAAGCGGCCCCGCTCGTCTGGCAGGAGATGGGCTATTGTCTGTCCCGGTGGCCGGCCGGGATTCCTCAGGTCCTGCCTGGAAGAGGAAAAATCTCCGTGTGTGTCTTTATTTTTTCCTCTGCCCTCTCCCAGGGGTGTCGCGGCTGCTGCTCGTGCCGGCGTTGCTCCTTTGGTGTTTCCTCCTTGGATTTTTCCTTGTTTTGCCAGGTTTCCTGGGTTCTGGTGGTGGGATGAGGTTTTTTTTTGGGATGATTGGGAACCACGTTGGGTTCCTGAGGGGAAGAGATGTGGGTGGAGAGCTTTGGGAGGGAGGAGAGCAAGAACTCCAGCAGCTGGGACAACCTGATGGGCAGGAGAGGGCAGGGTGATCCCGAAAATCGGGGCAGCCAGCTCCCCCAGCCAGCTCGCCAAGGGTCTCTTTGCTGTCCCTGGGGTGGGAATGTCCCCAAACTGAGGGGCAGGATGAGCCCTGAGGCAGGAATGATGTGACACGGGGTGAGGGATCTTGGTGGCTCTTGGATCCCCAAGGTCCTGCGGTGCTGAGATTTTGGCATCTCCTGGATCCCAAACTCCTGCAGTGCCAGGGTCTCAACATCTGGATCAAAAACTCCTGCAGTGCTGGGATCTCAACATCTGGGTCCCAAACTCCTGCAGTGCTGGGATCTCAACATCTGGGTCCCAAACTCCTGCAGTGCCAGGATCTCAACATCTGGATCCCAAACTCCTGCAGTGTCGGGATCTCAACATCTGGATCCCAAACTCCTGCAGTGCCAGGGTCTTGGTGTCTCTTGGGTCCCAAATCCCTGCTGTGCTGGGATCTCAGCATCTCTTGGATCCCCAGATTCCTGTTGTGTTGGAATCCCATTGCCTCTTGGATCTCCAAACTCCTGTCGTGCCGGGATCTTAACGACTCCTGGATTCTCCTGGATCCCAAACTGTGGGATTTTGGCATCTCTTGGATCTCCAAGCTCCTGTAGTGCTGAGATTTTGGCATCTCCTGGATCCCAAACTCCTGCAGTGCCGGGATCTCAACACCTGGATCCCAACCTCCTGCACTGGTGGGATTTTAGCATCTCTCGGATCCCCAAACCGGTGCAGGGCAGGGTGGGGGTTTTCTGGCACCTCATTCCCTTCTCCCAGCCCCTGGAGCTGTTCTGCTCCACACAGCCGGGGCCGATAGGATCAGGCCTGGCTGGCGGGCAGGAAGGGTGGCACGGCCACCGGGAGAATTGCAGGACGTGCCGTTCGCGGGTACGAACCGGGAAACGCAGGCTGTCACCATCCCGAAAATCTTGGAGCTGCTGGGCTGGGATTGGGAGGAAAGGCGAAATATGACTTCAAATTTGGAATTTCAGGCCTTTGCTGCTTGTGGGATGAGCCCCCAAAGAGCTGGGAGGGAAGGAACCATCCCATGAGAATTCGAGATCTGTTTCCATCCTCCAGGCTGGTGCTTTCCATCCCGACCCCATTCTCTCCCTTCCTCCCCACCCTGGATTTAACAGGGAACGTTAAAAACCAAGAAGATCCTTTCAGTGCGATTGTTCCGTGCCCATTGTGTGCCCCAGGCAGCCCCGGAGCCCACACCTGAGACCCGCCCGGAATGAGATAACAGCGCGTTTTCCCCTTTTCCCCTTTTTTTTTTTGTTTGCTCGGCAGGGTGGATAACAAACCCTCAAAGAGGCCTCTTTCAAACACGGCCCTATTAAAGCCTGGCCCCATTTTAAGAGTGAACTTCCAGTGGCACCGGGAGGTGAAGCACAATGGGAACGGGACCTGCGGGAGGGTTGGGATGGGATTTTGTCCCAGCCTCAAACCGAAGCCATCGCTCCGTGCCGCTGTGCTGCTCTTGCAGCATCCCAAACCTACAACATTTGGATTTGTGCATGGAAAAAACGCCAAAAAAGATGGCAAAATGGCATTGCACGCACACCTGAGTTGCTCTGCTGTGCATTCCTGCCTCAGTTTCCCCACCTATAACATCCCCACAAGGCAAATCCTTGCTGGAGCAGGCACAGCTTCCCACCGGGTCCGGTCCTTCCCGGCAATGGATTTTGGGGGCCGGGTGGCCCCGGCCAAGGTGAGCCGGGGCAGGAAGGGGCGCCGCAGGATGCGGCAGCCCCCAGGCAATGCGGGGCCGGGAGGAAACCCGGCGGGTTTGTTCGGCGGAGGGCGAGGGAACCGAGATTAAAAAAAGGCCCGCTAAGATCAGAAAGGCTGGCGAGCACAGTGCCCTATTGTGGAGCTGTCACACTTCCCTTTACTTTATTGCTTTTGTCCAACACCCCATTGTTCCACTTCCTTTTGTCCCCTATTCACAGCCCTGGCTTTTCATTACCCAGCCGGCCTTGTTGTTTTCATTTCTTTTGTTTGAAGTTCCTGAGAGGAAGGTTTTATTTTCAGCCGTTTGATTAATTCGCAGCTTGAGCCGGGCTTTGTTTGTTATGTAATTGCTGCCCCCAAGCCGGGCGGCCCAGCTCAGCCCTCCCCACCCCGCTTTGCACCCCCAAACTGGCTTTAGGGGCTCCTGAGGGGGGTCTGGGAGGTGAGAGGGTGCTGGGTTTGGGGTGGCATCCCCCCGGCAGGTGCTGCCCCCATCGCAGGGCAGTCCCACAACCCAGATCCCAATTCCAGGGTAAATCCCTTCCTCCTTTTCCCATTATTCCCACTGAAAGGCGAGGACAATGCTTGTTCCCGTTCTTGCTGTGTGGTGTGAGGCTTGGTGGCCACGAAAGGCAAATCCCCGTGGCACGGCCCCGTGGGCACCACCGATCCTGGCACTGGCTCTTGGCAGCCCTGGCACCCGGAACGAGGGGTGGGACACGTTTTTTGGGGACAAACCCCATGGAACGCCAGTGCTTGGGGTCCCCATGGGGTGTTATAACCCATTCCTTATAAATCTCATGGTCACTCCTGCAGTGCCCGTCTGGGACTGGGATTGGCACCCAGTGGGGTCCCCATGGGGTGTTATAACCCATTCCTTATAAATCTCATGGTCACTCCTGCAGTGCCCATCCGGCAGCACTGGGACTGGGATTGGCACCCACAGAGGTTTGTGGGATCAGGGAGAGCCATTCCTGGGGCCAGCCCCTTGTCCTGGCAGGGCCTTGGCAGTGCTGTGCCAGGGGCTCCCAGAGGAGCTGTTCTGGTGGCCAGTCCTGGTCCGAGATCCATTCCATGACGGGGACTCCTGGAGGATCTCTTTTGGTGGCCGGTTCCAGTCCCATCCCATCCCAGAGACTCCCAGAGGAGCCATCCTGGTGGCCAGTCCTGGTCCCATCCCATTCCAGGGATTCCTGGAGGAGATGTCCTGGTGGCTGGTCCCAGGTCCTTCCCATGCTGGGGATTCCTGGAGGAGCCATTTTGGTGGCCAGTCCCAGTCCCATTCCATTCCAGAGACTCCCAGAGGAGCCGTCCTGGTGGCCAGTCCCAGTCCTGGTCCCAGGTCCCTCCCATGCCGGGGGTTCCTGGAGGAGCCGTTCCGGTGCTGTTCCAGCCATTGTTGGGCAGAGCCAGGATTTCCCCTTCCCGTTGGATCGGGAAACCCGTGGCTGCTGCGATGGCTTTCTAGGCATCCTGGAGCAGTGAGGGACCCCTGGGCTGCTGGTCCCTGTCACCCTGAGCCTGGGCTTGCTGGAGGTGGCATGAAGGTCCCTCAAGCTGTCCCTCAATCCCAATCTCTGGGATCTCCGGGCTGCCTTTAGGAATTCATTCCTCCATCCCAGGTGTGAAGGGTTGGTTTCCCTGAGGATTGAGCCCCAGAAACCTGGGAAACCAGGAACGAGAGCTCCCAGGGTGTGAAGGGTTAGTTTCCCCAAGGATTGAGCTCCAAAAACCTGGGAAACTGGGAATGAGAGTTCCCAGGGTGTGAAGGGTTGATTTCTCTGAGAACTGAGCCCCAAAAACCTGGAGAACCAGGAACAAGAGCTCCCAGGGTGCGAAGGGTTGGTTTCCCCACGGATTGAGCCCGGAAAACATGGAAAAGTGGGAACAAGAGCTCCCAGGGTGTGAAGGGTTGGTTTCCCTGTGGTTTGAGCCCCAAAAATATGAAAAACCAGGAACAAGAGCTCAGCTTTCCCCTTGGCAAACCCCAGGGACGCTGTCCTTGCACCTTGGAGCACGCCAGTGTGGCACCAGGCTGGGAGAGGGGTGCCCATGCCCAGGGGTGCCCGGTGGCCGTGGTGACGTCCCTGCTGTCCCCAGGATGTCCATGAGGAGCCCCGTCTCTCCACCCCCGGAGCTGGATGGAGCGGGCACCATGGTGAACTGCGCCGTCAAGACCGAGGAGAAGAAGGAGGGCGGCCCCGAGACGCCCCCGGGGGCTGCCCCCAGCGCCGAGCCCCGGCCCCACGACCCCCCGGGGCCACCTCCCAGGGATGGCACCGACCCCCAGGGCCTGCCACAGGTGGGTGTGACAAAGCTGGTGTTGCCCCCAGCCCTGCTCCGGACCCTCCATCCCATGGAGGAGGCGGTGGCTGCTCCCCCGTGTGGCTTTTCCTCATCCCGAGGAATTAAAACTGAAATCTGAGGCTCTCCCAAGGTTTTTTTTTGCTGCTCTTTTGAGCCCAAAAACCTGGAGAACTGGGAACAAGAGCTCCCAGGGTGTGAAGGGTTGGTTTCCCTGAGGATTGAGCCCCGAAAACCTGGAAAACCAGGAACAAGAACTCCCAGGGTGTGAAGGGCTGGTTTCACCAAGGACTGAGCTCCAAAAACCTGGAAAACCAGGAACAAGAACTCCCAGGGTGTGAAGGGCTGGTTTCCCCAAGGATTGAGCCCCGAAAACCTGGAAAAGCAGAATCAAGAAATCCCAGGGTGTGAAGGGCTGGTTTCCCCAAGGATTGAGCTCCAAAAACCTGGAAAACCAGGAACAAGAGCTCCCAGGGTGTGAAGGGTTGGTTTCCCCAATGATTGAGTTCAAAAAACCTGGAAAAGTGAGAACAAGAGCTCCCAGGGTGTGAAGGGTTGGTTTCTCTGAGGTTTGAGCCCCAAAAACATGAAAAACCGGGAACAAGAGTTCAGCTTTGCCCACGGCAAATCTGGGGCTGCTCTGGGGTCATCCCTGGGCTTTGAGGGCTTCACCTTCGGTGTGGAACCCCCAACGACCCCCTCCAGGTGTTCCCCATCCCTTCAGCCTCCCTTCCCCATTGTCCTGGGGTTTTCCCTCTCCCTGCTCTGCCCTCAGAGGGGAGAGGGGCTCAGGGGACAATGGGAGAAAATTCCAGCATTTCCATGATGCTCTCTGGGTGGGATTCAGGGAATGTGCCTGGCACAGCGTGCTCCAGCTCCCAGCATCCCACCAGATGGGGATGTCCCCTGCTGGGGGTGTCCCTGGTGGTGGCAGTGACATCTGTGTCCCGCAGGAATCCACCGGGGATGTCCCCGAGCCCCGGTGTTCCGCCTTCGAGCCGGCTGGGAGTGGCCAGGAGAAGCTGGACTTCAACAGGAACCTGAAGGAAGGTGGGAAACGTTCCCAAGGGACCTCTTGGGATCCCTTCCCCGCCCCTCAGGATTTCCCCAGAGCTGTGGGATGGACTGAGCCGTGCTGCAGAGCCTTGGGATGTGCTCACGTGGTTGTCCCCTGTCCCTGTCCCCAGTGATGCCAACCATCGAGAAGCTGCTGGCCAGTGACTGGAAGGAGCGGCTGCTGGGCCGGAACACGGCTGAATCCAAGGAAGTGAAAGGTGGGATCCCCCTCCACCAAGCTCCCTCCTGCCTCGCAGCTGGGAGCACCAAAGCACGAGGGGAGATGTCCGCATTTCATTGGGATTTGTCACTTTTTTAATTGTTTATTTTGGAGGTGAGCATCTCTGCTACCTCTGACTGCATGGTCGGGGGGTTCAGCGTGTGGGGATCTTTCATTCCTCCCCAAATCTGACATTCCCTGGTCACCCCGTGGTGGCTCTGCTGGCTTTAGGACTTCTCTGCCTCACATTTCCCACCCCAAAGACTTCAGTCTCAGAGGAAATAGGAATTATACTCCTTAAACAAAGCCACCTCCATCCCACCTTGTGTTTCACCCTCTCCCCCTCCCCACCCCCTGACCCTCATCCAGTCGAGTTTTTCCCCCCAGGAACCCAGGACAAAATTGTGTTTTTTAATTGTTTATTTTGGAGGTGAGCATCTCTGCTGCCTCTGACTGCACAGTGAGGGGGGGTTCAGCGTGTGGGGATCTTTTATTCCTCCCCAAATTTGACATTCCCTGGTCACCCGTGGTGGCTCTGCTGGCTTTAGGACTTCTCTGCCTCACATTTCCCACCCCAAAGACTTCAATTTCAGAGGAAATAGGAATTATACTCCTTAAACAAAGCCACCTCCATCCCACCTCGACCCTCTCCCCCTCCCCATGTTCTGACCCTGATCCAGTCGGGTTTTCCCCCCAGGAACCCAGGAGAGCCTGGCGGAGAAGGAGCTGCAGCTGCTGGTGATGATCAACCAGCTGTCCACGCTGCGGGACCAGCTGCTGACGGCGCACTCGGAGCAGAAGAACATGGCCACCATGCTCTTCGAGAAGCAGCAGCAGCAGATGGAGCTGGCACGGCAGCAGCAGGAGCAGGTGGGGACCGTCACCCCTCCGCGATCCCTTTGGGACTGTGGGACCGTGAGTGGCTTTGGGGTCCTGTTTTGTGTTCCCATCCCAAAGCCCTCGGAGCTGGGAGGAGCACGGGTGGATGGAGATGGGGGTTGAGCCCCCCAGGATGAACAAACCACCCCAGGTGCCTCCTGCCTGTGCTCACCTGCTCCTTGGTCACCTCTCCCAAGGGCAGGGGTGACACCGCTGTCACACCTGGGGTGTGACACACAGCCCTTGTGTCCCTCGAGGTGGCTCAGGGCAGCTCAGCCCCTCCTCCTGCCCTTCCCATCGCCCTGGGGACCCCCTGCCACCCTTTTCCTGTGGTGCTGGCCGGGTTCTGCCAGGCTGGAGGCCAGCCCAGCGCTGTCCTTGATGTCACCAACGCCGCTGTCCCCTCCCCAGATCGCCAAGCAGCAGCAGCAGCTCATCCAGCAGCAGCACAAGATCAACCTCCTCCAGCAGCAGATCCAGGTAAAGGCAGGGGACACCTCTGTCCCTGTGACTGCAGCCTCCCGCTGTCCTGCTGTCCCCAGCCGGGGGTGGCACAGCGTTGATCTGGCGTCCCTGTCCCCTCCAGCAGGTCAACATGCCCTACGTGATGATCCCCGCCTTCACCCCCGGCCACCAGCCCCTGCCGGTCAGCCCCGAGTCCCAGCTGGCACTGCCCATCCAGCCCATCCCCTGCAAACCGGGTGAGTTGGGGCTGTCCCAGCCCTGCGGGGTGGCCTTGTCCCCCAGCCGTGTCCCTGTTGTCCCCAAGCGCTGTCCCTCTGCTCCCGCAGTGGATTACCCGGTGCAGCTCCTGCACAGCCCCCCTCCTGCCACGCTGAAGAGACCCGCGGGCCCGGGCCACCTCCAGATGCAGGTACGGTCCCAAAAACCAGGCACAGCCCCAAAAACCCTGGTACAGCCTCCAAAAACCCTAAAAACCCTGGTACAGCCCCCCAAATCCTGGTACAGCCTCCAAAAACCCTGGTACAGCCCCAAAACCCCAGACACAGCCCCAAAAACCCCAAAACCCCTGGTACAGCCCCCAGAAACCCTGGTACAGCTCCAAAACCCCTGGGACAGCCCCTCCAAACCCTGGTACAGCCCCACAAACCCTGGTAAAGACCCAAAACCCTCCCAAACCCTGGTATGGCTCCAAAAACCCCCCTGGGACAGCCCCTCCAAACCCTGGTACAGCCCCACAAACCCTGGTAAAGACCCAAAACCCTGGTATGGCTCCAAAAACTCCCTTCAACCCTTGGTACAGCCCTCAAAATGCCCTTCAACCCCTTGTAGAGCCCCAAAACCCCCCTTAAACCCCTGGTACAGCTCCAAACCCTGGGCTGGGGCTTTAGGGTCAGCTCCTCACCCCCCACCCCTCCCTCCTCCTCAGGAGACCTCGCAGCCGCTGAACCTGACAGCCAAACCCAAAGGTCCCGAGCTGCCCAGCGCCTCCAGTTCGCCCAGTTTGAAGATGAGCGGCTGCCAGGCGCTGCCACCGAGCCACGGCACCAGCAGGGAGCTGCAGAGCAGCCCCTCCAACCTCCCACTGGGTGGGGACACAAGTGACATCGCTGTCACCCTGGGCTGCGCCACCGCCCGGGGCGCTGCTGGGATGGTCGGGTGGGGTCAGTGGGGTGGGGGTCAGCGGGGTGGCCGCTGGCACTGAGGGGTGCCCATGGGCGTGGGTTGAGTGGTCAGTGGGGTGACCACTGGCAAAGATGGGTGCTCTTAGGGGTCATTGGTGTGAGGGGTCAGTGGGGTGACCACTGGCACAGATGGGTGCCACTTAGGGGTGGGTTTGTGAGTGGTCAGCAGAGTGACTACTGGCACTGAGGGGTGCCCATGGGCGTGGGTTGAGTGGTCAGTGGGGTGACCACTGGCAGTGATGAATGCCCGTGGGGTGGGTGCTGTGAGTGGTCAGTGGGGTGACCACTGGCATTGACAGGTGCCCATAAGGGTGGGTACTATAGGAGGTCAGCAGAGTGACCACTGGCACTGATGGGTGCTCATGGGGTGGGTGTGTGGGTGGTCAGTGAGGTGACCACTGGCACTGATGGGCGCCCTTAGGGGTCAGTGCTGTGGGGGGTCAGCAGTGGTCAGTGGAGTGACCACTAGCACTGATGAGTGCCCATGGGGGTGGATGCTGTGAGTGGTCAGTGGGGTGACCACTGGCACTGACAGGTACTCTGGGGACTCTGGGGTGGCCACTGGCACTGATGAATGCCCATGGGGTGGGTGTGTGAATGGTCAGTGGGGTGATCACTGGCACTGACGGGTGCCCGTAAGGGTGGGTTCCGGAGTGGTCAGTGGGGTGACCACTGGCACTGACAGGTACTCTGGGGACTCTGGGGTGGCCACTGGCACTGATGTGTGTGAATGGTCAGTGGGGTGACGGGTGCCCGTAAGGGTGGGTTCCATGAATGGACAGCGGGGTCACTGCTGGCACTGACAGGTACTCTGGGGCGTCAGTGGGGTGGCCACTGGCACTGACGGGTGCCCGTAAGGGTGGGTTCCGTGAATGGACAGCGGGGTCACTGCTGGCACTGACAGGTACTCTGGGGACTCTGGGGTGGCCACTGGCACTGCCGGGTGCCCCTGGGGGTGGGTCCCCTGGGGGGTCAGTGGGGTGGCCGCTGGCACGGATGGGTGCCCCTGGGTGTGGGTACCCTGGGGGGTCAGTGGGGTGGCTGCTGGCACTGACGGGTGCCCGTGTCCTGCCAGGATTCCTGGGAGAGGGCGATGCCATCACCAAAGCCATCCACGACGCGCGGCAGCTGCTGCACGGCCACGGCGCCGCCATGGAGGGGTCACTGAGCAGCCCCTACCGCAAGGTGAGCGCCACTCTGTGCTGTCACCGTCCCCTCTGCCACCCCAGGTCACCAGCCACAGCTGTCCCCGGGCTGGGGGCTGGCTCCTGACCCCGCTGTCCCGCAGGAGCCCGTCGGGATTGACTCCTCCCCGGTGAAGGAGCGGATGGAGGAGAACCCCGGCCACCGGCTGGACGAGGCTCTGCTGAGCTGCGAGATGGACGGTGAGGGTGGCCAGGGCACGGTGGTGACCCCAGGGTGGCTCTGTCCCCTGGCTCCTGCCCTCATCCCGCGTGTCCCTGCAGGCTCCCGGCACTTCCCGGAGTCCAGGAACAACAACCACATCAAGCGGCCCATGAACGCCTTCATGGTGTGGGCCAAGGACGAGCGCAGGAAGATCCTGCAGGCCTTCCCAGACATGCACAACTCCAGCATCAGCAAGATCCTGGGTGAGATCCCGGGGCTGGAGCCCCTCTGCAGCCCCTGGAGAGATGGGAATGAGATCCTGGGGCAGGATCCCCTCTGCATCCCCCAAAAATCCTGGGGCAGGAGCCCTTCTGCAGCCCCTGGAGGGACGGGAATGAGACCTGGGGATGGGGATCCCCTCTGCATCTCCATGGAGGGATGGGAATGAGATCTGGGCATGGGGATCCCCTCTGCATCCCCTGGAGGGATGGGAACAAGATCTGGAGACAGGGGATCCACTCTTAATCGCCACAGAGGGACCCCCCTGACCTGGGGGAAGTTAGGGAATGAGGGGATGAATCCAGGAGGGAAGGTCAGGGAATGAGGGGATGAATCCAGGAGGGAAGGTCAGGGAATGAGGGGATGAATCCAGGAGGGAAGGTCAGGGAATGAGGGGATGAATCCAGGAGGGAAGGTCAGGGAATGAGGGGATGAATCCAGGAGGGAAGGTCAGGGAATGAGGGGATGAATCCAGGAGGGAAGGTCAGGGAATGAGGGGATGAATCCAGGAGGGAAGGTCAGGGAATGAGGGGATGAATCCAGGAGGGAAGGTCAGGGAATGGGGGGATGAATCCAGGAGGGAAGGTCAGGGAATGAGGTGATGAATCCCTGGAAATGCCCAGGGAAGTTCAGGGAAGCTGTTCCCGATATTCCAGCAGAAGCAGCTGCGGCACGTGTCTCCCACCAGCACTGCCATAAATCCAGGCACCATTCCCACAATCAACACCATTAATTAACATCATTAATGAATCAACCAACAGCACCAATCCAGCTCGGGATGGGTTCACCCCGATCTCCTGGCTCAGGCAGGCTGTGAGGACGCTCTCCTCCTTTCCCCACGCAGGATCCCGCTGGAAATCCATGTCCAACCAGGAGAAGCAGCCCTACTACGAGGAGCAGGCGCGGCTGAGCCGGCAGCACCTGGAGAAGTACCCGGACTACAAATACAAACCGCGGCCCAAGCGCACCTGCATCGTGGAGGGCAAGCGGCTGCGCGTGGGCGAGTACAAGGCGCTGATGAGGAACCGGCGCCAGGACGCCAGGCAGGGCTACTTGATAGGGTAATTGATAAGGGGATTGATAAGGGGCGTTGGTAATGGCGATTGGCAAGGGGGAATTGGTAAAGGGGGATTGGTAAGGGGGGTTGGTAATGGCGATTGGCAAGGGGGAATTGGTAAAGGGGATTGGTAAGGGGGAATTGGTAAGGGGGATTTGATAAGAGGGATTGGTCAGGGGTATTGGTAATGGGAGGATGGGTAATGGCGATTGGCAAGGGGGAATTGATAAAGGGGGATTGGTAAGGGGGGATTGATGAGGAACCGGTGCCAGGATGCCAGGCAGGGCTACTTGATAAGGGGATTGATAAGGGGGGTGTGGTAATGGGGTTGATAATGGGGGAATGGATAAGGGGTGAGGGATTGATAAGGGAGATTGATAAGGGGGATTGGTACAGGGGGATTGATAAGGGGGGATTGGTAAAGGGGATTGGTATGAGGGGATTCATAAAGGGGATTGGTATGGGGGAATTGGTAATGGGGATTGGTTAAGGGGATTGGTAATGAAGGATAAATAAGGGGGATTGATAAGGGGGATGCCCACCTGGTGCCCGTGGGGTTGGTGCCCACCTGCCCCTCTCATAATTCCCCCCTCGGGATGGCCGAGGGCAGCCCCCTGAGCCCTGTCTGCCCCTCTGAGTGCCCACCCCCGTGTCCCCCAGGCCGCAGGGCAGCCAGGTGCCCCCCAGCTCCTCGGACGTGCTGTACCCGCGGCCGGTGGGCGTGCAGCTGCCCCCGCCCCTCCTGGAGCATTACCTGCCCCGCGGCGTGGACCCCACCATGCCCGTCATCGTCAACACCCGCAGCCTCAAGGACGGGGACGCCGGGGACGACGGGCACTCGGTGCCCGAGGGGGACATGTACCGCTACAGCGAGGACGAGGACTCGGAGGGCGAGGACAAGAGTGACGGCGAGCTGGTGGTGCTGACGGACTGAGGGGACAGGGGACAGCGGAGGGGGTGGCAGGGCTGGCCGCCACCCCCGGGAGGGCACCGCGTGTCCTGGTGGGATGGCACTCTGCCACGGGGGAGCTGCCCACCTGTAGAAGGGTCCCACGAGGGCGGGCACCTGGGATTTTGGGTGGCACGGACTGGCTTGGCCTTGCTTTGGTGGCACGTGGAGCCGAGGCCAGCGAGCCTGGAGATTTGGTGACGCTGTGGCTGCTGTGTTGTCACCCCCGAGGGGACCTGAGGCTGCAGGGAACCCCCAGAGCATCTCCAGCCCTGCGGCACTGTGGGTCCTGGAGAGCCTCACCTGCTGGGCACGGGGTGGGGACACAGGATGAGGACACAGACTGGGGACACAGGACAGGGACACACTCGTCCCTCCTCTATCCTGGCGTGACCTCCCCTCCGCGCTTCCCGCTCGCTCTTTGGCGCCTGCCAGCGAATTCCCCCGAGCCAATTTTAGCTGCAGCCTGGCCCCGGCCAAAGGCTCCTCGGGGCCCTTTGTGCTGCCGGCAGCTCTGGCCCACTTTGGGAATAAAGCGGGGGCTGTTCCTGCCCTGCCAGCCCCGCTCGGGGGGGACGTGCCCGCCTGTGCCCGGGCACCTGGCCCTGCAGCCCGGGCTGCACCTGAGCCCTGCGGGGTGAGGGGAGGGAAAGGAGCCGCTGAGGGGAAAGGAATTGTGAGAAAAAGAGTGTGGTGTGGTCAGAGCCTGCTCCAGGGGCTGGGGTGTGGCTGGGCATGGGTGAGAGTTAGGGGTGGCCAGGTGAGTGTGCCATGTCCAGGGGTGTGGCAGTGCCCAGGTGTGCATGTGTGGGGGTCCAGGTGAGTGTGCAGTGTCCCTCCGTGTGGCAGTGCCCAGGTGTGTGTGCAATGCCCAAGTGAGTGCAGTGTCCCTCTGTGTGGCAGCATGCAGGTGTGTGTGCCATGTCCAGCTGTGTTCAGTGCCCAGATGTGTGTGCCATGTCCCAAGTGAGTGCAGTGTCCCTCTGTGTGGCAGCATGCAGGTGTGTGTGCCATGTCCAGCTGTGTTCAGTGCCCAGGTGTGTGTGTGTGCCATGCCCAGGTGTGTGTGTGCCATGCCCAGGTGTGTGTGCAATGCCCAGGTGTGTGTGCCATGCCCAGGGGTGTGGCAGTGCCCAGGTGTGCATGTGTGGGGGTCCAGGTGAGTGTGCAGTGTCCCTCCGTGTGGCAGTGCCCAGGTGTGTGTGCAATGCCCAAGTGAGTGCAGTGTCCCTCTGTGTGGCAGCATGCAGGTGTGTGTGCCATGTCCAGCTGTGTTCAGTGCCCAGGTGTGTGTTTACCATACCCAGGTGTGGCATGTGTGGTGTCCAGGTGAGTGTGCAGTGTCCCTCCGTGTGGCAGTGCCCAGGTGTGTGCCATGCCCAGGTGTGTGTGTGTGCCAGTGTCCAGGTGAGTGGCAGTGCCCAGGTGTGTGCCATGCCCAGGTGTGTGTGCCACGCCCAGGTGTGGGTGCCATGCCCAGGTGTGTGTGCCACGCCCAGGTGTGTGCCATGCCCAGGTGTGTGCCCTGTCCCCCTGTCCCCAGCCGCTCTCTCCCCGGCCGTGTCCCCGCTGTCCCTCTGTGCGCGGGGCTCCGGCACCTCCGTGTGGCACAGCCGGGAACAGCCCCGAGCCTGGGACAGCGCGGGGACAGCGCCAGCGCTGGGGACACTGCAGGGACTGTCACTGTGCTTGGGACAGCACGGGGACAGCGCCAGCGCTGGGGACAGCGCAGGGACAGTGACAGCGCTGGGGACACCACGAGAGCCGTGGCCACCTGGGCTCGAGGCTGCACAAAGTGGGCACCAGCCTCTGTCCCTTTGTCCCTCTGTCCCCTTGTCCCTCTGTCCCCTTGTCCCCAAGCCGGGCTGGGGATCCCAATCTCAGCAGCAGCACCCGAGTGCTGGGGACACTGCTGTGGGGACATCCCTTATCCCAGGGGACATCCCGCCAGCCCCTGCCCTGCTCTGCCAGCCCCTCCCTGCTCCCCTGCCCTTTGTCAGTGCTTTATTTATTCCCAACTCTCTGGGGAGGGACAGGGGTCACTGAGGTGGGACAGGGGTCCCGGGGAAGGACAGGGGTCCCTGAGGTGGGACAGGGGTCCCTGGGGACAGACAGGGGTCCCTGGGGAGGGGTCCCACTCCAGGGCTGGGCTTTGCTGCAGAGGGACTGGCAGCAGATGTGTCCCCTCCCCACAGCTGCAGCTCTTTTTGTCTCTCTTCCATTACTTTTTCTTTTTATTTTTTTGTTGTTTCGTTTTGTTTTTTAAAGATTGTAAATATAGATAGAGCTTTATTTTGTTAATAAGACGACGAGTAACTTAACCTGTATATTTCACATCCCTGTTTACAATCGTTCCTCCCCTTGGCCCTTGGCACAATAAAAGTGACTTTTTGGAGCAGAGAGAGGGGCTTGGGCTTCACCAGAGTGGGGGTGAGGGTTGGATGGGGACATCTTGGGGTACAGAAGGGACAGGAGCACCCCCAGAGCCTGGGGGGGGCTGCCCCTGCTCCAGCCCCAGATCCACAGCCCCAAATTCAGCTATCAGCAGCTTTTATTTCCCACCGAAACAAACACGGACGTGCCAGCAGCCCTGGGTCTGCCTGGGGGACATCCCTGTGCCTGGAGAAGGGACAGACACCTTGTCCCCACAGCCGGGGGGAGTATGGGGCTCTCGGGGACATCCCTGAGCCCGGAGAAGGGACAGCCACCTTGTCCCCACAGCCAGGAGGGGCACAGGGCTCTTGGGGACATCCCTGAGCCCAGAGAAGGGACAGCCACCTTGTCTCCACAGCTGAGGTGGCACAGGGCTGTGGGGGACATCCCTGTGCCTGGAGAAGGGACAGACACCTTGTCCCCACAGCCAGGAGGGGCACAGGGCTCTTGGGGACATCCCTGTGCCTCGAGAAGGGACAGCCACCTTGTCCCCACAGCTGAGGTGGCACAGGGCTCTTGGGGACATCCCTGAGCCCAGCGAAGGGACAGTCACCTTGTCCCCCCAGCTGAGGTGGCACAGGGCTCTGGGCGACATCCCTGTGCCTGGAGAAGGGACAGACACCTTGTCCCCACCGCCAGGAGGGGCACAGGGCTCTTGGGGACATCCCTGTGCCTCGAGAAGGGACAGCCCCCTTGTCCCCACAGGGTACCTTGTCCCCACAGCCGGGGGGAGCATGGGGCTCTGGGGGACATCCCTGAGCCCAGAGAAGGGACAGTGACCTTGTCCCCACAGCCGGGGGGGCACAGGGCTGTGAGGGAGGTCCCTGTGCCTGGAGAAGGGACAGTGCCCTTGTCCCCACAGCTGAGGTGGCACAGGGCTGTGGGGGACATCCCTGAGCCCAGAGAAGGGACAGTCACCTTGTCCCCACAGCTGAGGTGGCAAAGGGCTGTGGGGGAGGTCCCTGCGCCCGGAGAAGGGACAGCCACCTTGTCCCCACAGCCAGGGGGGGCACAGGGCCCCGATTGCTGAGCTGAGCTGGACAGCTGTGGGGGAGGTCCCTGTGCCCGGAGAAGGGACAGTGACCTTGTCCCCACAGCCAGGAGGGCACAGGGCCCTGATTGCTGAGCTGAGCTGGACGGGGCTCAGCAGGGCAGGGGGGTGGGGGTGAAGCTGTGCCCGGTCCTGGAGCGGGGCAGCTCCGTGCCACCTCCTGCCAGGGATGGGGACACAGCCAAGGGAGGAGAACAGGGGTGGGGACAGGCAGGACAGACCCCCCTGGATGTCCCCGGGCCCCCTGGGGGCAGAGCTGGGGGCGGGGGGGAAGCCACCAAGCCAAGGGGACAGTGGGGACAGGCAGGGGCAGCTGTGGGGACACCCCCGGACTGGCACGACGCAGAGGGGGTGGGCACCCCGTGCCCACAGCAGCACCCCACAGGTGCCAGGGGCTCACGGCTGGCACTGCCCCTTTGCCCACAGCTGCCACCCCTCAGGGTCTCGTGCCTGGGGCCAGGGGCCGGCAGGGACATGGGACAGCGCTGCTTTGGGGTTGGCACCCGGGTGGCACCCAGAGGGGCAGGAGGGGACAGTGGGGCAGCTCTGGGGGCCCTGAGCAGCCGGGGTGACGCCGTGTCCCCCTCGGGGACAGCGCAGGGGAGGGGTTGGTGCCAGGCCCGGCAGCAGCAGCAGTGCCAGCGGGGCACGGACCTGCCGGGCACCGGCACCGGGCGTTAAGGCGGTGGTGGGGCTTCCTGGCGTGGGCTGGGGCCTCGTGGGGCCCTGGTCCTCTCCAGCATCTCATGGTCCAGTCGTGGGGGTGGCCAGGCTCTCCTGGGAGCGGTGGTGGCCAGGGCAGGGCTCCTCTTGTCCCCCTTGGCACCGCTGGGCGAGGGGGGCGCGAGGGCACGGCCAGGACAGGAGAGCTCGGGGCGGCCCCTACTTGGGGACCTGCAGGGCTGTGACCACCGGCTTCATCTTGAAGTACTGTTTAAACCTTAACGTTGCATATCTGTAAAGAGAGAGAGAGAGGAGGGACGGCTCGGAGCCACTCGTGTCCCCTGGGACTGCTGATGTTTGTCCCAGGATTCTCCCCAGGGACAGCCGGGATCCTCCCCGGGGACTGCCAGGATCCTCCCCAAGGACTGCTGGGATCTTCCCAGGGGACAGCCGGGATCCTCCCCAAGGACTGCTGGGATCTTCCCTGGGATCCTCCCCAGACACCACTGGGATCCTCCCAGGGATCTTCCCCAGGGACCACCAGGGTCCTCCCCAAGATCCTTGGGATCTTCCCCAGGATCCTCCCCAGGATCCTCCCCAGGGATTACCGGGATCCTCCCCAGTATCCTCCCCAGGGATCCTCCCCAGGATCCTCCCCACGGATTACCAGGATCCTCCCCAGGATCCTCCCTCCCCACCCATTTCCCTGGGAGCAGCCCGTGCGGACTCACCGTAAGAAATTAAAGTCTATGGTGGAATATTTATCCTGGATCAGGCCCCAGCAGGCCCAGAGGAAATGGGACGCCTGCAAGGGGCAGAGCAAGGATCAGGGAACGGCCGCAGGGACAGAAACCCCGTGCCACAACCCCCAGGGCTGTGACAAGGACAGGACACGGACCCACAGCAGGATTTCTGTGCCCTCCAGAGGCCGCTCCTGGCTGGAGCCAGGGATGGCAGCAAGGAGGGTGCTGGACTTGGGATGCCACCCCTGTGCTGCCCTCCAGGCAGCTGCAGCCAGGAAAACAGAGAATATTTCACCCAAAATTTCCAGAAAATCGGCTGGGGCCGCCCCTGGCAGTCAGCAAAGAGGATTTCCTCACTCCAGCCGTGCCTGACCCCTCCGAAGGGCTGCCCAAGGCCACCCTGCCGGGCACAGCTGTCCCCAACACACTGTCCCCAACACACCCCCGTGACCTTGCCCGGGGCTCAGCGTCCCTGAGGCACTGCCAGGGCCGAGGCACAGGCTGTCCCCGATGTCCCCAAGCCCCCAGGCTGGCACCTGGCGCTGGTCAGGTCAGCTGGAAGGCCAAGAGCAGAGAACTCCCTCATGCCTGGGCTGTTTTCGGCTCCTTCCTCCTCCTCACTCACCAAGGAGAACTTGTTCACTTGCACGTAGAGGGTCTCCAGCTCCTCCTGGGACACCTGGCTGTCACCTGGGTGGCCCTGGGTGAGCTCCTTGTAGGCCTGCAGGTAGGAGTGCAGCCACTGCAGCTGCGTCTCCTTGCCGGGGTAGAGGCCATAATCCACCTCCTTCACGCCTGGGGGGACAGGGGGACACGGGGGGGACAGGAGGAGGGGACAGGGAGAGATCGGGGTCTCCAGGGTGAAGCGAGGAGAGCGCAACCCCAGCCAGGCACAAAGCCAGGATCAGCTGCTGGCCCTTGGGGTGAGGAGGCAGGGTTGGCACCCCAGGGGCATCAGGGTGCCCAAGAGCAGCAGAGACCCCGCTGTGACCATGGGCAGTGCCATTTCCTGCTGTAGGGTTTGGGGTGAGGCTCCCTCCTCCATCTCAGGGATGGGGAGACCCCATTTCCCATCAGGGGATTTGGGGTTCAACTCCCTCCTCCATCCCCAGGGATCAGGAGACCCCAGAACAGCCCCATTTTCCACCCTGGGACTGGGAATGCAACTCCCTCCTCCATCCCAGGGATGGGGAAATCTCATTTCCCACCCCAGCACTGGAGACAAAATTCCCTTCTCCAGCCCAAGAGATGGGGACAACCCATTTCCCAGTATGGGACTGGGGACAACTCCCTCCCCCATCCCAGTAACAGGAACACCCCGTTTCCCAGTATGAGACATGGAATTCCCAGTAACAGGGACCCCCCATTTCCCAGTATGGGACTGGGGACAACTCCCTCCCCCATCCCAGTAACAGGAACACCCCGTTTCCCAGTATGAGACATGGAATTCCCAGTAACAGGGACACCCCATTTCTCCAGTATGGGACTGGAATTCCCAGTGACAGGGACACCCCATTTCTCAGTATGGGACTGGGGATAACTCCCTCCCCCATCCCAGTGATGGGGACACCCCAGGCCGGGGCTGGGGGGATTTTGGGGGTCCTCAGCCACTCCCCACCTGCGAACTCATTGAAGTGGTTGCCGATGTCGAAGGCCTGGTAGTTGTAGCCCGTGTACTCGTAGTCGATGAAGCGCACGCGCTCTGCGGGGACAAAAACCCTCAGGGGCGGGGACAGGGGTGATGACAGCATGGGGATAAAATGTTTCTAAAATCGTGGGACAGTCAGGGGAGTTGGAAAGAAAGGTTGGGCCTGGTAGGCCCCGGGAAAACGTCAGGGTAGGCCCTGGGAAAATGTTAGGCTGCACCTGTGTAATCATTTAATGAATAATAAATTAAATGATAATGACTGTGGTAGTAAATAATGATAACTATTATGTGATATTTATGATGATGATGTTTATGATAAATAATAACTATGAGAAATTAAATGATTGTTATATGATCAATGATATGATTGTTAAATGCGCTGATTGGTAATTGCATATAATTATTGTTTAATCGTAACAAGAATAATGAGAAACGATGTTTGGGGGATTTGATGGAAATTAGAAGAATCCATGCTTGGATGAAATCGATGTATACAATAGAAAAATATAAGTTTAATAATGAATATGTAATTATACAATGATAAGAGTATAAAAACATGTTCATCCTGAACCCATGGCAGAGTCAGATTTGGATCTGTACCCCTGACACCCAGAGCTCTTCAATAAAAGCACCTGCAAATTATAATTCCATGATTATTGATAATTATAATTCCTCCATAATGACAATTATAATTCCTTGGTTCTGTGTTCCTGACGGCCGACAGTGACCCCCCCCCGGGCGCACAGACCTCGTGTCCTGTCGTAGATGATGTTCTTGCACAGGAGGTCGTTGTGACACAGCACCACGGGGGACCCCAGCTGCGACAGCGTCTCCTCCATCCAGGCCAGCTCCTGCTCCAGCGCCTCGGGGCTGGGCACGTCCCGCGGGAGGCTGGCCGAGGGGACAAAAGGGACAGGGTGGCATCGCTGCTGCTCTCGGGGAGCCGCCCTGGGGGCTCGGGGGTGGCTTTTCCCGGGCTCCCAGTGCTTCCCTGGGGGCTCTGGGGCAGAATTGCTCTTCCCTGACTTCCAGAGCTTTCCCTGGGGCCACAGGAGCAGAATTTCCCTGGCTTCCAGAGTTTCCCTGGGGGCTCAGGGGCAGAATTTCCCTGAATTCCAGAATTTCCCCAGCTTCCAGCGCTTCCCTGACTTCCAGAGCTTTCCCTGGGGCCACAGGAGCAGAATTTCCCTGGCTTCCAGAGTTTCCCTGGGGGCTCAGGGGCAGAATTTCCCTGAATTCCAGAATTTCCCCAGCTTCCAGCGCTTCCCTGACTTCCAGAGCTTTTTCTGGGGCCACAGGAGCAGAATTGTGCTTCCCTGACTTCCAGCACTTCCCTGGCGGCTCAGGGGCAGAATTGCTCTTTCCTGACTTCCAGCACTTCCCTGGGGCCACAAGAGCAGAATTGTGCTTCCCTGGCTTTCAGCACTTCCCTGGGGGCTGAGGGGCAGAACTTCCCCAAATTCTAGAATTTTCCCAATTTCCAAAATTTCCCCAGCTTCCAGCGCTTCCCTGGGGCCACAGGAGCAGAACTGTGCTTCCCTGACTTCCAGCATTTCCCTGGGGCCTCAGAGGCAGAATTTCCCTAACTTCCAGTGTTTCCCCAGCTTCCAGCACTTCCCTGGCGGCTCAGGGGCAGAATTTCCCTAACTTCCAGTGTTTCCCCAGCTTCCAGCACTTCCCTGGCGGCTCAGGGGCAGAATTGCTCTTTCCTGACTTCCAGCACTTCCCTGGGGCCACAAGAGCAGAATTGTGCTTCCCTGGCTTTCAGCACTTCCCTGGGGGCTGAGGGGCAGAACTTCCCCAAATTCTAGAATTTTCCCAATTTCCAAAATTTCCCCAGCTTCCAGCGCTTCCCTGAGGCCACAGGAGCGGAATTTCTCTTCCCTGACTTCCAGCGCTTCCCTGTTCAGGAGCAGAATTTCCCCAGTTTCCAGCCCTTCCCTGGGGGCTCAGGAGCAGAATTTCCCCAGTTTCCAGCCCTTCCCTGGGGGCTCAGGAGCAGAATTTCCCCAGTTTCCAGCCCTTCCCTGGGGGCTCAGGAGCAGAATTTCCCCAGTTTCCAGCACTTCCCTGGAGTCACAGGAGCAGAATTTCCCCAGTTTCCATCCCTTCCCTGGGGGCTCAGGAGCAGAATTTCCCCAGTTTCCCTCTCTTGCCTTACAAACGACCCCACTAACGACACAAAGCTAACGAGGCTGCTTTTGGGGACGGGATCACGTTTGGTACCCAGGCAACCACCACACCTCAGCCTCAGCGCATCCCGCGTCCCCAAAACCCCCCGTGCCCACCCCCCAAATCCACCCAGCGCTCGCTCCCCGAGCAGCCGGCGGAGCCCCCGGGGCGCGGGGATGTTTTGGACTCTGGCAGCCCGGCGGTAACCTCAGGAGCGCGGCTTCCAAGAAAAAAGCTCGTTAATGATTGCCTAATTGGCTGCGCTGAAGGCGCAGGGTGGGTAAAGTCTGCCCGTGGCCCGGCGGGCGCTGAGAAAAGCCCGGCTGGCTCCTGCCGCGGGTTAATGATTGCCCTGCCCAGGGTTCGTTCACCTCCTCCGCCTCTTGGGGCTGCCCCAATCCTTCCCAGACACCCCAACTCTCACCTGCCGGGCCAAACCAGCCGCCCCAAAAAGCGGGATGGGTTGGTTGGAAGTGGGAGCTGAGTGGTTTAATTTTTAGAGTTAATCGTCAGCTCAGCGGGGCTTGAGCTCGGGTTTATTCTAAATTTCCGGGAGGAGGAGAAGGAGGATTGTTCCAGCAGTGGGAGGCTGTGCCTCCAGCTGGATCCTGCACCGACACATCCCAGAGCTCCAAAAAAGCTGAAATCCTCCCCAAACTGGCAGCAGGAAGGGGCTGGAGCTGCTCCAGGGCTTCTGAGAGGGATCCAGCCCCAAATCCCCGCAGAGGCTTTACCTGGGAACCTCGGCCCCAGAGGGGGTGGGCAGGGGGTGCCCGAGGCAGAGCCTGGCTCTGTGGGATCCCTCTGCCTTTACCTGGCGTTGGATACCTTTGGGCTGAGCTCTGTCTTCACCAGGCTGAGGTATTTGTGCAGCTTCTGCCACAGCATGGGCCGGGGGAGGCTCCCGTTGGCGTGGATGGCGTGGACTCGGGCCATCTCCCGGGCCACCAGCCTGGCGTGGAGCACAGCAGAGGGGTGAGGGGGGACCCCAAATCCTCAAAATCCCCCCTGCAAAATCCCCCGAAGAGCTTTGGGGGTGTCTTCAGGGAGGGTTCCCTGAAAATCCTGCTTAAACCACGGGGTGAGCACAGCTGAGCACTCGTGCCGTGTCAGGGATCGGCCTCTGAAGCATTTCAGAATTGCCATTTTCAGGGTAAATTCAGCCCTAAACTCTGCTTCCCAGAGGAATTCCAAGTTCCCAGGAAACCTTAATTCCAGCTTCTCAGGAAGACTTAATTCAAACTTCCCAGGAAAATTTAATTCCAACTTCCCAGGAAACCTTAATTCCAGCTTCTCAGGAAACCTTAATTCCAACTTCCCAGGAAATCTTAATTCCAATTTCCCAGGAAACCTTAATTCAAACTTCCCAGGAAACTTTAATTCCAGCTTCCCAGGAAACCTGGATTCCAGCTTCCCAGGAAAATTTAACAGGAAACCTTAATTCCAGCTTCTCAGGAAAACTTAATTCCAACTTCCCAGGAAATCTTAATTCCAACTTCCCAGGAAAGCTTAATTCAAACTTCCCAGGAAGCTTTAATTCCAGCTTCCCAGGAAACCTTAATTCCAACTTCCCAGGAAAACTTAATTCCAAGTTCCCAGGAAACCTTAATTCCAGCTTCCCAAGAAACCTCTCTTCACCAAAACCTGATAAAAATTAGAAATGTGGCAATTTTGACATCTCTGGCTGCAGTCTGACCCATTTACCCCCCGACACCACCCAGGACTGGGCACACCAGTGACCCCCACCCACAGCAGTCAGGGGAGAGCTGGAAACACAGAACAAACCCCCAGAAAATCGAGGGAAAAATTGGAGGGAAACCCCCAGACCGCCCTAGGACATCCCACACACCTGAAGATGTGGGGATCCCTCACGTGGTCGGGTCCCAGCGCGATTCCCGGCAGGAATTGGTAGCAGAGCCCGTTCTGGAAGGAGCAGTAGAGGTCGGGGGCGCAGCCGTGGGCTCGGAGCACCTGGAAATTCCTCAGCTCCGTCTCCCTGTCCACCAGCAGCTCGGTTTTCCTGCCGTACACCCGCACCAGCAGCGCGTCCGCCATGCCCTCGTCCGTGTAGCAGGCCACCAGCTTGTTGGTGATGCCATCAGTGAAGAGCTGGGTGGGGACAGACACGGCCAGGGTGACACCCGGGTAAGGCTGGGAATGGGGGAACCCCGTGTCTGCTTCCCACCGGTGGGAAAAACTCGTGGGAATGGAAAAAAATTAGGAAAAGGAGCGAGGCAGCGCAGCCAGGAAAGCTTCTGGGATTGGGAGGACTGAGGTTCAGGGGTCTGCAGGCAGAGGTGGTGGTTTGGGTGAAAATCCTGCTATTTTTCACGTGGAACAGCTCAGGGATATCTCAGGAACACCTCTGCAGGTAGAAGGGGTGGCTTGGGTGGAAATCCTGTTATTTTTCACCTGGAATAGCTCAGGAACACCTCTGCAGGTAGAAGAGGTGGTTTGGGTGGAAATCCTGCTATTTTTCACCTGGAACAGCTCAGGGATATCTCAGGAACACCTCTGCAGGCAGAGGTGGTGGTTTGGGTGGAAATCCTGCTAATTTCACGTGGAACAGCTCAGGGATAGCTCAGGAACAGCTCAGGCCACATGTGCCACCAGCACGCTTGGCACGGGAGCAGCCCCGGGAATCTCTCCCCAGGGGAGGAAAGAAAAAAAAAAAATCAGTGTAAATTGGCACGAAATTTAAAAAGTAATAAATAAATAAACCAGCCAACGAGGCTGAAAACAAGGTCGGAGCAAACACCACCCCCCATCCCCTCCTCCGACCCTCCCCGCGGGTCGGGGCGCTGATAGGCGGGGACGTCGCTGCTGGGGACATCTCGTGTCACCGCTCTGATGGCTCCTCGCAGATGGAAAGGGAGTTTTGTTCTCCCGGAGCTCCGCCTTGGCCGCCTGCCCGCGCACATGCCGGGGCTGCTGCCGCCCGTGCCGGGCTCCGTGCCCCATCCCGCCGGGATTTAGGCACCTCCGGGGCTCCCGGGGGGGTTTGGGGACGTGTCACCCCACAAGAAACCCCCGTCCTGTTGTCCCTGTGCCAGTTTTGGGGTGCTGTGATTCCCCTGGGAATGATTCCCTCATCCCACCGGGATTTTGGGAACTTCCAGAGCATTGAGGGGGTTTGGAGCTCTGTCACCCCACAATAAACCCTGTCCTGTTGTCCCCGTGCCAGTTTTGGGGTGCTGTGATTCCCCTGGGAATGATTCCCTCATCCCACCGGGATTTTGGGAACTTCCAGGGCATTGAGGGGGTTTGGGGCTCTGTCACCCCATAATAAACCCCTGTCCTGTTGTCCCCGTGCCAGTTTTGGGGTGCTGCGGCTCCCCCTGGTCAGAATTCCTTCATCCCACTGGGATTTTGGGCACCTCTGAGGCACCCGAGGGGATTTAGGGACTTGTCACCCCACGGGAAATCACCCCAATTGTCCCCCGTGCCAGCTCCAACCTGGGCACTCTGGGGTGCTGCGCCTCCCCATGGGAATGATTCCTTCATCCCGCCAGGATTTGGGCACTTCCAGGGCACTGAGGGGATTTGGGGTTCTGTCACCCCACAAAAAACCCCTGTCCTCTTGTCCCTGTGCCAGTTTTGGGGTGCTGCGCCTCCCCCTGGGAATGATTCCTTCATCCTGCCAGGATTTGGGCACTTCCAGGGCACTGAGGGGATTTGGGGTTCTGTCACCCCACAGGAATTCCCTGCCCCATTGCCCCCCACACCGTGGGATGCTCAGCTCCAAGCTGGGCACTCCGTGACTCTCCTGGGAATGATTCCTTCATCCCACCGGGATTTGGGCACTTCCAGGGCACTGAGGGGGTTTGGGGCTCTGTCACCCCACAGCAAACCCCTGTCCCACTGTCCCCCAGCGTGCCAGCTCCAACCTGGGCACTCTGGGGTGCTGTGGCTCCCCATGGGAACGATTCCCTCACCCCTGTGGGATCAGGGAGCCGGAGCAGGAGGGGGGAGAGGGCTCCTGCTCCGGCAGCCACGGCGCTCAGGGATGGGATGGATAATTTTAGACATCCCACTCAGCAACCCACGCTCCCCTATAGGGTTCCTATATATAGGGCTCCCCAGGCAGCCTCCCGGGGGAGACTCCAGGCACTGGAATGAGACCCTCCAAGCCAGACAGGGGTGATTCCCCCACTCCACAGCTGGATTTGGGGTGAGCAGGGCGAGGCCGCTGCCCCATCCTCAGGGGTGCTGCCCCTCAGCTGCAGCTGAGCCTTCCCAAGCTGCTTTTCCCCGAGTTGATAATCTGGGTTTTACCACGGGGCTCAGCTCTTTCCTCCTCTTGTCCTGCCAGGCCCCAGAGGCTGGAAATTCAGGCAGCAGAGGTGACACATGCCATCCGTGCAGGTGTCACCACGAGCCACACGTGGGTCAGCCGCAGGTGAGCGGCTCCTCATGGAGTGAAATCCTCGGCGCTGCTTTGTTTTGCTGTCCCACAGCCTGGCCAGCCCTTTCCAGCAGGTTTAAGGGGATTACTGGGCCTTATCCCCCCTGAATTCCAGGCCACCAACTCTGGAGACGCACACGTGACCTGCAGGGACTCGCTGGGTTTGGGGGTGGCTCCCGAGGGTCGTGGTGGCTGCCTGGGGGATGCCCGGTGCTGTTCCCTGTGGATCCAGGCTGCAGCCACCCTGCTGCCGCCCCAGATCCTTCCCTCCTGCAGCCGGGTGGCAGCGGGGACAGAGGGGAGGAGTGACACTCCGTGAACTTTGCAGGGATTAAACGCAAAGAGAGACCTGTGCCGAAGCGCTGGGGTGAGGCAGCAAAATCCAACTGCTGGTGCTTCACCTGCCGGGAGAATCCCTCAGCATTCCCAAAACGCCGCCGTGCTGGCTGCCTGGGCACCCCCAGCCTGGAGCTGGCCACCAGCAGGGAAACTTGTTACCAAATCTGGGCTAAAAACATCCAACCCTGCACGGCAACCTCATGTGGCTTCGGCTCTGCGGCGCTGCCACTGTTATCTCTGCCTGAGGATGGATGGATGGATGGATGGATGGATGGATGGATGGATGGATGGATGGATGGATGGATGGATGGATGGATGGATGGATGGATGGATGGATGGATGGATGGATGGATGGATGGATGGATGGATGGATGGATGGATGGATGGATGGATGGATGGATGGATGGATGGATGGATGGATGGATGGATGGATGGATGGATGGATGGATGGATGGATGGATGGATGGATGGATGGATGGATGGATGGATGGATGGATGGATGGATGGATGGATGAGGGATGGATGGATGTGGATGGATGGATGGATGGATGGATGGATGGATGGATGGATGGATGGAATCCATGGATGGAGGCATTTGTGCTTCCCTGGGAGCATGGGGAGCTGATTCAGCATCACAGACATTCCTCGAGGATGAGGAGCAGGAGCTCTGGGAAGCAGGCACGGCAGGGCAGCCCGAGCTCCCAGACCCTTCTTGCCACTTTCCTGAGCTCCGGGAGATTTTCCCGAGCCACCGGCACAGCCTGGTACAGCCCCCACGAGGCGCTGGGAACGGGGCAGCGCTCCAGGGCACCGGGCAGGGAATGGGATCGCTAATGGGAACCAGCTGAGGCCCCTGGCCCGCTCCATCCCATCCCGAGCTGCTCCTGCGAGGGGAAACGCGGGAGGAGGGAAAGCAACCGAGGGAAACGCAACGGGAGAGTTTTCCCTCAACTCCTGCGTGGTTTTGGGTTTTTTTTTCTTTTTCTTTTTTTTTTTTCCCCTTTCTTTTTTTAAATTAAAAACACACGCCCGCACACCCGAGCTGCTGTGGAACACTGACCCCTGCGGAGCCTGGATACCGCAGAGCCGGGGTCCCTCCACAACCACCGAGCTCAGCGAGCAGAGCGAGACATTTCCTGCCCCGGCAAACTCCAACTCCCAGCTTCCTGCCCGCTGCCATCTGCCCTTTCAGATGGCTTTTCCTGCAGCTTCTTGTATTTAATTACACTTGGCTATTAATACATTTTTAATGACGGGAAGCGTGTGCCTTCGGAGGGGACACCGGCTCACGTGCAGACATTTAAGGGCACGCAGTCCCAGCCCCTCCACGCTCCGGTGCCCAGAGCCAGGGCACAGCCGAGGGCACCGGCGCCACCAGCCTGTGTCACCCCAGCCCCGGCCAGAGCGATTCCCACGCCAGCCCAGCTCTCCCAGCACAGCCCTGGCAGCCCCGCACAGCCCAGCCCTGTCCCGTGCCAGGAGCCCGGGACTGGTGTCCAGCTCCCACCTGAACTGGGGCTCAGCCCACGCAGCCTGGGAAATGCAGGAGCCGACAAATATCCCAAACAAGAGCGGCTCCCGGGAGCGGCCGCTCCTCGGCTGCCAGCCTGGGGACACTTTTGTACCCACAGCCACCGCTCGGTGACCACACCAGGGGTCCCTAAACCTCGTGGGGCGGGTGTGCGATGGGGGTGTCACACCTTGGCACAGCTGATGAACCCCCGGTTACGCACTAGGCACGGAGGGGAGACCCGGGGTGGGGGTACGGGGTGTCACATCCTCTGGGGCTGGTCCTACAGCCCCCCACAGTGAACCCCACGGAGCCCCTTGGGTGACCCCCACATTCCCCCTCGGACAGATCCGGTAGCCCCCCGGGTTAAACCCTACAGCCCCCCTATAGCCCCCCGGCTGAGCCCCAGAGCCCCCCTAGGACAGACCCCACAGGTCCCAGGCTGAGCCCCTCAGCCCCCCTTGAGCTGCCCCCACACCCCGCCGGGGTGAGCACCCCAGCCCGCTCAGACAGCCCCCAGAACCCCAAAACCGCCCCCCAGGCGGGCTCCGCAGCGCCGGCGGGCGATCCCCGGTGAGAGCGGCCGCCGGTTCGCGGGGTGCCGGCGCAGGGTCCCCGCCGTACCTTGGTCTTCACCGCGGCCGGATCCCAGGCGGGTCTCAGCCGCCGCACGATCCGCAGCGCCCCGGGCAGCACGTCCCCCTCGTCCACCGCAATGCCGAGGTGTGGCACGGCGGGGGTCCCGCCGCCGCCCCCCCGCTCCGGCCCCGGGCAGTCGGGGCAGCGGGCGGGCGGTGCGGCCATGGCCAGCTCCGCGCTGCCGGAGCCGCGGCCCATGTGCCGGGGGCTGCGCGGGGCCGGCGGCCGCGGGGAGGAGCCGCCGCCGTTGGGAAGCCATGAGTCACCGGCCCGCCTCCCGCCCGCCTCCCCGGCAGCGGCGGCAGCGCCCGCACCGGCACCGGGGGCAGGGACGCGCATCCTACCGGCACCGGGGGCAGGGGATCCGCATCCTACCGGCACCGAGACCGGGGGCAGGGACCCGCATCCTACCGGCACCGGCGCCGAGGGCAGGGGATCCGCATCCTACCGGGACCGGGGACAAGGGATCCGCATCCTACCGGCACCGAGACCGGGGGCAGGGACCCGCATCCTACCGGCACCGGCGCCGCCGGCAGCGGGTCCATATCCTACCGGGACCGGTACCGCGGGCAGGGACCCACATCCTACCGGGACCGGCATCCCGGGCAGGGGATCCGCATCCTACCGGCACCGGTACCGCGGGCAAGGACCCGCATCCTACCGGGACCGGCATCACTGTCAGGGACCCGCACCCCCGCACACCGAGACCTGGGCGTCGCACCCGCCCCCGACCCGCACCGGCACCAGCGGACCGACATCCCACCCGCACCGGTACCGCATCCCGGGCAGGGGATCCGCACCGGGATGGGGCATCCCATCCACGGCGTCCTGGGCAGCGGAGTCCCGTCCGGCCGGCACCGGGACCGGGAAAGGGACCCCGCTCTGCCGCAGCTGCTGTCGGTGCCTCCCGCCCCCATTCCCGGAGCCTCTCAGCTCCCCCGGCAGCCGCCCCGCACCGAGATCCTCCCTCCGCACCTGCTGCCGGTGCCTTCCCCATCCATTCCTGGAACCCCAAAACCACCCCAGAGGATCGGGACCGGCACCGCCCCCGCCACACCCTGCGGCCCAATGCCCACCCATCCATCAGCTGAACCCCTCCGCCGTCCCGGGGGGCTCCGCGCAGCCCCCGCTCCCTCCTTTGGGGTCACAAAGGATGAGGAGCCACGCACGGGATGCGCTCCAGCCCCCACGGCTCCGCTCGGGATAACCTCTCCCATTGCACCCTCCGCTCGCTGACTTCCGTAGCGATTCACAGCCGGGCTGGGAAGAGGATTTGGGGGTGAAGACAGAGCGGGATTTTCCCGCTGGCGGAGCCCCCGCAGCTCCCGGACGCGGCTTCATTATCAGAGGAAATAACAGCGTCGCATGGGCGGCTCCGCAGAGTGCCCCCTCCAAAAGTGCCAGCCTGCCGTGCCCGGAACCAGCCCAACGCACCCTGGAGACCTGGGGAAAAATCATTTAAGGAAAAGGAGCCGGGGGACAAAAACCCCGCCGGGCAGTTTCCCGTGTTGCTAAAAATAGCGCCAGCCCTGCTGGTGTTAATGGGATGGGCATAATTGCTGCCGCGCTTGGCTGGGCTGAGCGCGGCCTAATTGCTCGGCCGGAACGATCTAATCCGGGCTGGCGGAGCCCCGCGGGCAGGGCCGAGGCTTCCAGCGGGAAATTGCCCCCGGAGCAGCGATTAGAGGTGTTAATAGCCCGGCTTAAGGGGCCCGGCAGCGGCTCGGGCGGATTTTAACTCCTGCTGCGTGAAATGAGTGCGCGGAGTTGGAACAGAAGCGGCGCCGCCAAAACCATCCCGGTTTAGGCCAGGCCGGGCCTTTTCCAGCTGAGGGATGTGGCAGGAGCCGCGGCGGGGGCTGAAGGCACCTTTTGCACCCACTCGAGTCTTCCCCAGGCTGTGGAGAGCAGGGCAGAGGAGGTTGGGATATTTCCAAGTGGGATTTCCCTCCTGTAGGAAGAGGAGATTCTCGCCAAGCATCTCTGGCCGTTCAGAAGGTTGTGGGTGCCCTGACCTCGGCAGATTCCCTCTTTTCTGATGGTCCCATCCCTCCCTGCCGCTGCTTCCCTGCTCGGGATCCGCATCCTACCGGGACCGGGGACAAGGGATCCGCATCCTACCGGCACCGAGACCGGGGGCAGGGACCCGCATCCTACCGGCACCGGCGCCGCCGGCAGCGGGTCCATATCCTACCGGGACCGGTACCGCGGGCAGGGACCCACATCCTACCGGGACCGGCATCCCGGGCAGGGGATCCGCATCCTACCGGCACCGGTACCGCGGGCAAGGACCCGCATCCTACCGGGACCGGCATCCCGGGCAAGGACCCGCATCCTACCGGGACCGGCATCCCTGTCAGGGCGGGACCCGCACCCCCCGCACACCGAGACCTGCGCGTCGCACCCGTCCCCGACCCGCACCGGCACCAGCGGACCGACATCCCACCCGCACCGGTACCGCATCCCGGGCAGGGGATCCGCACCGGGATGGGGCATCCCATCCACGGCGTCCTGGGCAGCGGAGTCCCGTCCGGCCGGCACCGGGACCGGGAAAGGGACCCCGCTCTGCCGCAGCTGCTGTCGGTGCCTCCCGCACCCATTCCCGGAGCCTCTCAGCTCCCCCGGCAGCCGCCCCGCACCGAGATCCTCCCTCCGCACCTGCTGCCGGTGCCTTCCCCATCCATTCCTGGAACCCCAAAACCACCCCAGAGGATCGGGACCGGCACCGCCCCCGCCACACCCTGCGGCCCAATGCCCACCCATCCATCAGCTGAACCCCTCCGCCGTCCCGGGGGGCTCCGCGCAGCCCCCGCTCCCTCCTTTGGGGTCACAAAGGATGAGGAGCCACGCACGGGATGCGCTCCAGCCCCCACGGCTCCGCTCGGGATAACCTCTCCCATTGCACCCTCCGCTCGCTGACTTCCGTAGCGATTCACAGCCGGGCTGGGAAGAGGATTTGGGGGTGAAGACAGAGCGGGATTTTCCCGCTGGCAGAGCCCCCGCAGCTCCCGGACGCGGCTTCATTATCAGAGGAAATAACAGCGTCACATGGGCGGCTCCGCAGAGTGCCCCCTCCAAAAGTGCCAGCCTGCCGTGCCCGGAACCAGCCCAACGCACCCTGGAGACCTGGGGAAAAATCATTTAAGGAAAAGGAGCCGGGGGACAAAAACCCCGCCGGGCAGTTTCCCGTGTTGCTAAAAATAGCGCCAGCCCTGCTGGTGTTAATGGGATGGGCATAATTGCTGCCGCGCTTGGCTGGGCTGAGCGCGGCCTAATTGCTCGGCCGGAACGATCTAATCCGGGCTGGCGGAGCCCCGCGGGCAGGGCCGAGGCTTCCAGCGGGAAATTGCCCCCGGAGCAGCGATTAGAGGTGTTAATAGCCCGGCTTAAGGGGCCCGGCAGCGGCTCGGGCGGATTTTAACTCCTGCTGCTTGAAATGAGTGCGCGGAGTTGGAACAGAAGCGGCGCCGCCAAAACCATCCCGGTTTAGGCCAGGCCGGGCCTTTTCCAGCTGAGGGATGTGGCAGGAGCCGCGGCGGGGGCTGAAGGCACCTTTTGCACCCACTCGAGTCTTCCCCAGGCTGTGGAGAGCAGGGCAGAGGAGGTTGGGATATTTCCAAGTGGGATTTCCCTCCTGTAGGAAGAGGAGATTCTCGCCAAGCATCTCTGGCCGTTCAGAAGGTTGTGGGTGCCCTGACCTCGGCAGATTCCCTCTTTTCTGATGGTCCCATCCCTCCCTGCCGCTGCTTCCCTGCTCCCGGGCTTTCCTGTGAGCAGCTCAGGAAACGCTGGATGAGAGCAGAAATTCATCCCTTCCCTCGACCCCCCGGCAGCACAGAGCCACTGCCACCACGCCGGCGCTGGAGGTGACAGAAAAAAAAAAAAAAAAAAAAAAAAAAAAAACGAAAAAAAACCACATCCCACCCACAGGAGCCGGAATTTTCCCATCCCCGGAGCCCCGGGGCTGTGCATCCCAGCACGGAGAGGCTGCGGAGAAGCTCCCAGGAGGGACAAACATCCGCCCCAGGCACATCCTCTCTGCTCTGGGGCTGCCGGGGCAGGGCAGGGATGAGGATCCGGGCGAGGAGGGGTGGATAAAGGGCTGGGAGCTTAGGGGGAGGTGCTGGAAGGGTCACACAGCAGCCACTGGCTCCCCTTCCCAAATATCCCTGCAGCTGAGAGTGAATTTGGCAGCTCTGGGAATTTGTCAGCGCTGGAATTGTCAGCTCTGGGGTTCCTCAGCGCTGGAATTGTCACCTCTGGGGTTCACCAGTGCTGGAATTGTCAGCTCTGGGATTCACCAGTGCTGGAATTGTCAGCTCTGGGATTCACCAGTGCTGGAATTGTCAGCTCTGGAAATTTGTCAGCACTGGAGTTGTCATCTCTGGAGTTCCTCAGCGCTGGAATTGTCAGCTCTGGGGTTCCTGAGTGCTGGTGGATAAAGGGCTGGGAGCTTAGGGGGAGGTGCTGGAAGGGTCACACAGCAGCCACTGGCTCCCCTTCCCAAATATCCCTGCAGCTGAGAGGGAATTTGGCAGCTCTGGGAATTTGTCAGCGCTGGAATTGTCAGCTCTGGGGTTCCTCGGCGCTGGAATTGTCAGCTCTGGGGTTCCTCGGCGCTGGAATTGTCAGCTCTGGGATTCACCAGTGCTGGAATTGTCAGCTCTGGGATTCACCAGTGCTGGAATTGTCAGCTCTGGAAATTTGTCAGCACTGGAGTTGTCATCTCTGGAGTTCCTCAGCGCTGGAATTGTCAGCTCTGGGGTTCCTGAGTGCTGGAATTGTCAGCTCTGGAGTTCCTGAGCACTGGAATTGTCAGCTCTGGTGTTCCTGAGCACTGGAATTGTCAGCTCTGGGGTTTTCACCAGTGCTGGAATTGTCAGCTCTGGGATTCACCAGTGCTGGAATTGTCAGCTCTGGGATTCACCAGTGCTGGAATTGTCAGCTCTGGGATTCACCAGTGCTGGAATTGTCAGCTCTGGGATTCACCAGTGCTGGAATTGTCAGCTCTGGGATTCACCAGTGCTGGAATTGTCAGCTCTGGGATTCACCAGTGCTGGAATTGTCAGCTCTGGAAATTTGTCAGCACTGGAGTTGTCATCTCTGGAGTTCCTCAGCGCTGGAATTGTCAGCTCTGGGGTTCCTGAGTGCTGGAATTGTCAGCTCTGGAGTTCCTGAGCACTGGAATTGTCAGCTCTGGGGTTCCTGAGCACTGGAATTGTCAGCTCTGGAGTTCCTGAGTGCTGGAATTGTCAGCTCTGGGGTTCCTGAGTGCTGGAATTGTCAGCTCTGGAGTTCCTGAGTGCTGGAATTGTCAGCTCTGGGGTTCCTGAGCACTGGAATTGTCAGCTCTGGGGTTCCTGAGCACTGGAATTGCTCAGCTCTGCAGCTCTGAGGGTGAGGAGCTCCTGCCAGCGGCTGCTCCTCCACGGTGAGATCCTGATTCGCTCCAGGCCCTGCCCCAGGAGCAGCTTTCCCACTCCCAGCCACCTGAACTGGTCAAACTGGAGGCCAGCCCGCGTTCCCCTGGCATGGGGATCCAGGGCTGGAACTGGGCTTGTCCCCCCAGCTGGGAGCACTGCCCTGTCCCTCCCTCCAGGCCAGCTGGCACAGGGGGCACCTCCAGGGGCATCCCCACACCCAGGGCAGAGAAAAACCTCTGCTTTTTCCTGAAAACACACCCTGGGGCAGGAGCCACCGTCCTGTGTGACACAGACCCGCTGGCAGTGTCCCCTCCCCGGGTGCCAGAGCAGAGCTGAGGCACAGCCGTGTCCCTGTCCCCAGGGGGACACCCCGGGTGTCCCTGTTCCCAAGGGGACACCAGGGCTCCTGGCGCCATCCCAGCTGCAGGAAGAGCTTTGCAGAGCCCTCGATTTGCCTGCCGGAGCTGGGGAGGGCGTTGCACCCTTATGGGGTGGAATGAAGAGGTGGCTCCTGGCACAGGGACATTTGTGGCCCAGTTCCCTAAATAAAGGTGTCTGACCCTCCCCTCTGCAAGACCAACCATCCACTCATCCTCCTGGTGCTTGAAATTGTTTAATATCAAACTCACGAAGAGGGGCAGGGCTGACACCGGCCAAAACTCTCCTTAAACACCGATTATTGCCCCCAATTTAGGAACAACACGAACAGTCCCAGAGCGCCCCTCAGCCGCACCAGCAGCAAATCCCCGTGCGCTGCTCCTGCCATCCATCGCACATCGCCCTAAAAGCGCCCGGAGGGGCCGCTCCGATCCCGCTGGGATGGCCAGCCCCGCTCCAGGCTCGGCTCCCGGGGAGCAGCGCGGGGCTTTGGGAAGCTTCGGAGAGGAGGAGGCGGCAGAGCTGCAAGGGAGCTGCTGTTCTCTCGCTGCTTCCCGGGGCTGCCGCAGCCTCCGGGCTGGTTCTCCGCGCCCAGCCCGGCCCCCGCGGCCCCCCGGCCCTCAGCGGGCGGTGGCGAAGCCGATGCGGTTGTGGCGCCGGTCGAATTTGGTGTAGTAGTGACCGATGAAGGTGGCGCCCAGGATCCAGAGGGGACCGGCCGGAGGGGGGATGTCCAGCCCGGAGAAAGCCACCACGCACACGACCTCGCCGTACTGCGATTGCTGCGGCAAGGAGACCCGCGGGGTAATGGAGGGGACAGGGGGAGGGTCCCGGTGTCACCGTGCCCCCCATCCACACCCCCCGCTTGGCCACGGCGTTCCTTCCTCGGGGATCGTGGAATATCCTGAACCAGGATCCCCGGACCAGCCCCAAAATCCCCACGCTGTGCCTGGGGGTGAGCTCCCTGCGGTCCTTTGGGTTCGGCAAAGCCCCGCGGAGGTGCTGGGCGCTGTGGGGAGGATCCCACCGTGGGACAGAGCCCCGAGCAGCAGCAGCAGCGGCAGAAGCAGCCCGAGGAGCCCTGAAGGTTTGGTCAGGATGGGATGGTCCCGTGCCGAGGGCCGGGCAGCAGCTCCGGGGTAGAACCGAGCCACAGCAGGGCTCACACGGAGCGGGTGGCCCTTGGCACAGGAATTCCTTCCCGTGGGAATCGCAGGTGAGCTGGAGCCGGGGAGCAGCGGCAGCCTCAGCCTCCTGCTGGTGGGTCCCTGCTGCCCGGGAGGAGCTCGCTATCCCAAATTCCCCAGATTTAGGTTTGAGGTAGGCTGGGCTCTGTCCTGGGTGAGTAAGCAGCTCCTCAGAGTGTGGACAGACACAAACAATGGTGATCTGCAGCTCCGCTCGTGCTGAGCACAGGGAAATGTGGATTTGCCCACCGTGAACTCCTGGTGGGCACTTCCCGCTGTCCCAGGGTGAAAAACCTTTCCTGATATCCAAATCCCAGCAAAAACCCATCCCTGCTGACCCCAAATCCCCCCCAAACCACCCAAGGACGCAGGGACAGCTCGCCCTGGCTCGGGTGGGCACCTCCAGCCAAGAGAAGGGTTCAGGACAAACAAGGAGCATCATTTTGGGGCCGATTGTGGCTGGTTTTGGTCACTCACCCGCAGCACGTAGGCCGGGCCGCTGAGGCCGTACACCTTCCCTCCCAGGTGGAAGGAGATGTTGGGCAGCTGAGGCACCTGCTCGCAGTCCACCACGTACTGCAGGGGAGGGGACAGCGCTGGGACAGGGCCGGGCAGCCAGGGGGACACGCGGAGGGGCTGGCTGTCACTCACCTCGCCTTCGGCCGCCTCGGTGGCCCCGATGGCTTTCATGAGCACGGACACGGGGCCGGCGGGGCCGGTGATGTAGGAGGCACCCGTGTCCACGGCCACTGAGCAGCCTTCCCTGCAGAACAGGGTCTCGGCCCCTACGGACACCCTGGAGCGGGAGGGGTGGCCCTGAGTGTCCCCTGGTGGCACCCAGGGTGCTCCTGGGGATGTCACTTCCAGCCCAAATGTCCCCTGGTGTCACCCTGGGAGTGACACATCCAATCCAAATGTCCCCTGGTGACACCCAGGGTGCTCCTGGGGATGTCATCCATCCTGAGTGTTCCCTGGTGCCACCAGGAATGTCGCATCCATCCCAAATCTCCTGTGGTGACACCAAGGGTGCTCCTGGGAGGGAAACGTCCATCCTGAGTGTCCCCTGGTGTCACCAAGGGTGCTCCCAGGAGTGTCACTTCCATCCTAAGTGTTCCCTGGTGGCACCAGGAATGTCACATCCATCCCAAATGTCCCCTGGTGACACCAAGGATGCTCCCAGGAGTGACATGTCCATCCCAAATCTCCCATGGTGACACCCTGGGAGTGTCACACCCATCCCGAGTGTCCCCTGGTGACGCCAGGAATGTCACATCCCTCCCCAGCCAGGCACGTGCTGCTCCCAGCTTTTCCAGTGTGGGATCTGAGCTCCATCATTTGCAGGCTGATTTTTTTGGGCGGTATGTTTTTGGTTTTTTTTTTTTTGGCGAAACAAAGCGGGATTGTTTCAGCTCCTCCCGCAGGACTGACGGGGGTTAAACTCTTCCAACTGCGGCTCCCGAGTGGAATCTCAGCCCACGGTGCCACCCCCTCTGCATTCCCAGCTGCTCCTGGCTCCTTGCTGAGCCTGCAGGAGCTGGAGGAGCCCACCCCGCTCCTCTCCAGACGGAGAAAAGACCCCTGAAATCCCCGAAATTCCCGAAATCCCGGAAATCCCACCCTCACAGAGCCGCGGCATGCAGCCCCGGCCCTGCCAGTGCTGGGATTCGATGATCCCAAGGGCTTTTCCCACATAATCATCCCGGGATTTGGGGTTGCCGGGCCGTGCGGGGCTGGCCCCGCGCTCACCCCTTCATGCGGATCTGCCAGAAGCCGCTCCTGCTCACGTTCACGTAGTGGAAGTCGCCGGTGTAATGGGCTGGGTCGCTGCCGCCCAGGATGATTTCCCCGCCGGCCTTCAGGGGAGCATTCCTGTGCCAAACACAGCGGGAGGCATTCCCCTTTTCCCAAAAATCCCGGCCCTGAGAGAGCGTTTCCCCTTTTCCCAAAACTCCCAGCCTGACAGGAGCAATTCCCCTTTTCCCAAAAATCCCTGCCCAGAAAGACTGATTCCCCTTTTCCCAAAAATCCCTGCCCTGAGAGAGCGATTCCCCTTTTCCCAAAATTCCCAGCCTGACAGGAGCATTTCCCCTTTCCCCAAAAATCCCAGCCAGGCAGGGATGAATTCCCCCTTTCCCAAAAATCCCACCCAGCCAGGGATCGATTTCCCTTTCCCCAAAAATCCCAGCCCAGAAAGAGCGATTCCCCTTTCCCCAAAAATCCCAGCCCAGAGAGCGTGATTCCCCTTTTCCCAAAAATCCCAGCCTGGAGAGAGTGATTCCTCTTTTCCCAAAATCTCATTCCAGCAAGGAGCAATTCCTCTTTCCCCAAAAATCCCAGCCAGGTAGGGATCAATTCCCCTTTTCCCAAAAATTCCACCCAGCCAGGGATGGATTTCCCTTTCCCCAAAAATCCCAGCCCAGAGAGAGTGATTCCCCTTTTCCCAAAAATCCCAGCCTGGAGAGAATGATTCCCCTTTTCCCAAAAATCCCAGCCTGGAGAGAATGATTCCCCTTTTCCCAAAAATCCCAGCCTGGAGAGAATGATTCCCCTTTTCCCAAAAATCCCAGCCTGGAGAGAATGATTCCCCTTTTCCCAAAAATCCCAGCCAGGCAGGGAGCAATTCCCCTCTTCCCAAAAATCCCAGCCAGGCAGGGATCCATTCCCCTTTTCCCAAAATTCCCACAGCCTTGAGGCTCTGCTGGCCCTGTCAGCAGCAGGGACAGCAAGGTGACACATGCTGCAGGTGGCTGTGGTGGCCCCTGAGGGGGCACAGAACCCGGGCAGGACATCCTGGGGCTGGCAGAGGGACCAGGGGACACTGGGGACACGGGGGGCTGGCAGCGGGTGGCCTCGGGGGTGCTCGTGCTTTGGGTCTTCTTACTTGGAAGCGCTGCAAGGAGAGGGATGCTCCGTGTCCCCAGGGAGCCCAGGGGACACAGGTGACACCCAGAGACCCGGGGGATCTTCCATTTCATATCTGCCCATCTCCTCCGGATCCTCCATTCCATCCCTCCCATCTCCTCCAGGATCCTCCGTTCCTTCCCATCCCATCTCCTCCAGGATCCTCCATTCCATCCCTCCCATCTCCTCCAGGATCCACCATCCCTTCTCTCCCCATCTCCTCCAGTATCCTCCGTTCCTTCCCATCCCATCTCCTCCAGGATCCTCCATTCCTTCCCATCCCAGCTTCTCCAGGATTCTCCATTCCTTCCCATCCCAGCTTCTCCAGGATCCTCCATTCCTTCCCATCCCATCTTCTCCAGGATCCCCTATTCCTTCCCACCCCAGCTTCTCCAGGATCCTCCATCTTCTTCCCACTCTCCCAGTCCAGCTTCTCCAGGATTCTCCATCCCATTTCACCCCATCTCCTCCAGGATCCTCCATCCCATCCCATCCCATCCCCATCCCCATCCCTATCCCCATCTCTCCAACACCCAAACCCATCCCCACCATCCCGTGACCCCCAAACCCAGCCCCGTTTTGGGGGTGTCCCCGTTCCCCGCGGCCCCACCGGCTGTAGTAGACGGAGAAGGCGTCCTCCTGGAGGATCTGCTGCGCCAGGATGCGGTCGAAGACGGGCGTGATGCCGTCGATGGCCTGGCTGGGGTAGCCCATGCCCAGCACGCCGTCGAACCTGGCGAAGATGAAGGGGAAGGCGGGCAGCGCCGTGGCCTCGGCGAACACCTGGATGATCGGGATGTCCGACACCTGCGGGGAGGGCACGGGGGGCTGGGAGGGTGCTGGGAGGGCTGAAACCCCCCAAAAAAACCCCACACGGCTCCTGGCTGAGCCAGAGGATCTGGGTGTGTGGGTTTGGGGGTTCTGTGGGTTCCAGTGTGTGGATTTTTGGGGGTTTTGTGGGTTCTAGTGTGTGGATTTTTGGGGGTTCTCTGGGTTCCAGTGTGTGGATTTTTGGGAGTTCTCTGGGTTCTAGTGTGTGGAATTTGGGGGTTCTGTGGGTTCCAGTGTGTGGAATTTGGGGGTTTCATGGGTTTTGGGGATTCTGTAGGTTCCAGGTGTGTTGATTTTGGGCATTCTGTGGGTTCCAGTGCGTGAATTTTAGGGATTTGGTGGGTTCCAGGTGTGTGGAATTTGGGGATTCTGTGGGTTTTAGGTGCGTGGAATTTGGGGGTTCTGTGGGTTTTAGGTGCGTAGCATTTGGGGGTTCTGTGGGTTTTGGGGATTCTGTGAGTTCCAGGTGTGTGGAATTGGGGGTTCTGTGTGTTCCAGATGTGTGTAATTTGAGGATTTTGTGGGTTTTAGGTGTGTGGAAGTTGGAGATTCTGTGGATCCCAGATGTGTGGAATTTGGGGACTCTGTGGATCCCAGGTGTAGATTTGAGGGCTCTGTGGATCCCAGGTGTGGATTTGGGGGCTCTGAGGGTTTCAGTGTGTGGATTTTGGGGGCTCTGAGGGTTCCAGGTGTGAATTTTGGGGGCTCTGGGGGTTCAGGGCTCACCATGACGATGTCCTGGCTGAGGACGCCTTTGACGCTGCCGGTGCCGTAGCGGATGGCGAAGCCGGTGCCGTTGGCGATGTACGTGCGCGACTTGGAGGAGTCGTAGCGGCTGTGGGACACTGGGGACAGGGAGAAGGGACATCCCAAAGGGGCACAGAGCATCTCTGTCTCCCCAAAAACCCCTGGGGGTGGGTGGTAATGGACCCACCCCACCTCAATGCCAGAAGTCTGGACACCAACAGAGAGACCCCCCATGAAAAAATCATCAAAAACGAGACCACTCCCAGCCCCCTCTGAGCAGCCCTGGGGGTGGCTGAGGTTTTGGGGGGGTCACCCCCAGCCCTGGCCGTGCCCCCCCCAACTCACCACAGGCGCTGTAGAGTGGGGAGCACTTGTAGGATGGCACCCACAGGTTGGCCGAGCCCGTGTCAAAGACCACCTTGAAGGTCTGCGCGGGGGTCCCGATGCTGATCTCGCCGAAATATTGGGTCTGGGGGCGACGGGGAGCCCCCGTGAGCTCAGCTCAGCTGGGGGACATCGCGGTGACAAACCCCCCCACCCCCGGGCAGGGCCACACTCACATCCAGGTAGTTGGTGAGCAGGGTGGGGGCTGTCCCGTTGCGGGGACCGTCCCCTCCTCCGCGGGTGGCCCGGCGCAGCTCCGGGAACACCTCCCGCACCTTCACCCCCATCTCCTGCAGCGTCTGGCGGATGGAGGGCATCCTCCGCAGGGCGATCCTGGAGGGCAGGGCAGAGCTGGGGGGCACCGGGGGATCCCCCCCAGCCCCCCGGCAGCTTCCAGCGGCATTCCCGGCCTCGGGAGATCCAGCCCGGTGGCTCTAGATGGCAGCAGCTCCACGCCGCTCCCCCGGTGGGTCCCGCTCCCAGCGCAGGGTGGGGACCCCCCAGCTAGGTTGGGGACAGCCGCAGACCCCAAGGCCGGCCCCAAACTCGGTTATTTGGGATTCGGGGTGCTCCCAAATGGTTTAAGTTAGGAAAGACCCCGCGCTCGTGGAGTCCCACGGTGAGCAGGCGGTGCTCGAGGAAGAGGAGTGAGGAAGAGCAGAGAGGAGGAGGAGGAGGAAGGGGGTGAAGCAGCAAAGCCCCTCAGCCTCCTCGCCAGACCCCGGGAATGAAAGGGGGGACAGCCCCGTGAGGGCCACACGAGCTCCGGCTACCTCTGCAAAGCCTGGGCTGGCGAGGGGACAAAAGTGGCGCCCCAAGTGACAACCAGGAGCAGCAGGCAGCGCTGCAGCCTCCTGCGGGGTGCCACCGCCATCGTGTCCCCGCTGTCCCCTCCCGGCCGGCGGCTCCGTCCCGTCCCCTCCCGGAGGGGAGGAAGCTTTTATAGCCCGGGATCCTCCATCCCGGCGGGATTCTCCTCCCCTGGCAGGGGCAGGGCTGGGAATGGCATGGAGGGCACTGGGCAGACTGGGAATGACATGGATCAAACTGGGCAGGCTGGGAATGGCATGGAGGGCACTGGGAGAGCTGGGAATGGCATGGATCAAACTGGGCAGGACTGGGAATGGCATGGAGGGCACTAGCAGAGCTGGGAATGGCATGGATCAAACTGGACAGGGTGGGAATGGCATGGAGGGCACTGGCAGAGCTGGGAATGGCATGGAGGGCACTGGAAGAGCTGGGAATGGCATGGATCAAACTGGACAGGGTGGGAATGGCATGGAGGGCAACGGCAATGCCATGGATAGGACTGGGCAGGGTGGGAATGGCATGGATGGCACTGGGAATGGCATAGATAGAACTGGGCAAACAGGGAGTGGTATGGATAGCACTGGGCAGGCTGGGAATGCCATGGATAGTGTCCATCAGACTGGCTAATGCCCAGCAGGGTGGGAATGGCATGGAGAACACCAGGCAGGTGGCTGGGATAGTCCCCACGGGGGGTGGCAGGGCCAGGATGCCCCCCATGCCCCATAGGAATGTGCCAAGGGGAGCTGTGGATATTTGGGAGATGGATCCCCCATTCCTTGGGGTTAATTGCTCCCAAATTCCTCCACTGAATCCCCACAGAAAATCCCTACTGGTGCCACCTGGGAGAACTGCTGGGTGGTGGCACAGGTCTGGGTGGCATCCCAGCCAAGATGTCCCCAAACTGCAGCTGCAGATGGGATTTTCCCCAAGGGAATGGGAATGGCAAAGGGCACTCAGCCCTGTTGGCCATGGAGACACCGAGTGCGGACCCCCCAGCCCCCTCTGCCCTTTGGGGGATGCTCTGGGTGACCCCCCCAGCCCCAGCTCTGTTAAACCAGGCCTGGAGCTCGGAGCAGGGAACGGCCAAACTCATCCCAGCTGCTCCATGCGGGGTCAGATCCTGGTGTTTGGGATGGGAGATGGAGCTCAAAACCCTCGGGAGCTTCCAGCTGCACCCCTGGCCCCCCTCCAGGCCGCTGTGCCCCCCTGGCAGTGCCCAGCCCAGGGTGGGGGGTGCTGCATCAGCCCCACGGCTCCCAGGGTCTACTGACCTCGGGAATCTCGGTGGGAAATGACTCCAAAGGCAATAAAAATGTTCTTGGATGAACCCTGAGGAACACATCCCCTCCCACCCCAACACCAGCCCCACAATCCCCCTCCCGTTTGTGGGATTTGTTTGTGGATGAACTGCAAGGACACATCCCCCCACCCCAGCCCCACAATCCCCCTCGTGGGAAATGACTCCAAAGGCAATAAAAATGTTCTTGGATGAACCCTGAGGAACACATCCCCTCCCACCCCAACACCAGCCCCACAATCCCCCTCCCGTTTGTGGGATTTGTCCATGGATGAGCCCCGAGGACACATCCCCCCACCCCAACCCCACAATCCCCCTCCCGTTTGTGGGATTTGCTCAGGGCGCTGCTGTCACCCCATTCCACCCCGCAAACTCCAAACACCTCTCCCCCAAAACCGGAGTTTCACCGCCTCATTCCCTGCGGGATTTTGGCTGCCAGGGCACTGCTGACCCCGGCAGGCCCCAGGGCTCAGCCCCACGGGGCTCTGCCCCATCCCTGACGTCTTTTCCCACGCAGGACCCGTGTCCCTGCGTCACTCCGGGGAGCCTCGTGGCCGGCGCAGGTTGCGGGCAGGGAGCGGGGTCAGGAGCTGCAGCGACGTGAGAGAGGCTGGCAGGGAGCCCGCGGCCGTAAATCCCTGCCCGGGCATCCCGCGGGCTCTGCCAAGCTCCGTTCCCCACAGGAAAAGCCGCGGGTGCAGCAGGACTTCAAAGGAAAAGGGGTTCTCATCCGTGGGGATCTGAATTTCCAGCCCCTTCTGATCCAGGGCAGCCACGTCTGTAGGATCCCTGAGGATTTGGGGTGTTCTGGGCACGGCTTTGTCCCGGCAGGCACAGCTGGAGCCCTCTCCTGTGGGGGATCCAGGGTGGGATGTGCTGGGAAGGGCAGTGGGATGGGGGAACCAGAGGGGCACGACCCTTCCCTGCCACTGGGGTGGCCCCAAAACCCCCTTGGATGGGAAATGGAAGGAAAACGGGGAAAAGAGACTTCCCCAAATCCATCAGAGAGCCAAGGGCTGCTGCTCGGGGGTGGCCACTGGGGTGGAAGTCCCAGCCCCAGGGCTCTGGGATGTCCCCAGCATGGGACACTTTCCCTGTGCTGGGAAAACACCCCCAAGGAATTTCTCAGTTCCCTCTGCTGGTAGGGAAAAAGAAAAAAAAAAAAAAAAAAAGGAAAAGTGGTTTTGGGGGGGCTCAGAGGGACAAGGACATGGGAGGGAAGGGGACAGGGACATCAGGCAGCTCTGGGATGGCACTGGATTCATTCCCAGCCCTTCAGATCCGCAGGGAAGATCCTGAACTCTTCCCATGTGGCCCCAAAATATCCCTTAAGTGGAATTTCAAGGACAGGAGGTTCCAGGGAAAGGCAGGAATCCCTCACTGGGTCCATGTGAGGAACCTTGCTCCAAAATCCTGGGGTTTTACCCAATTACAGATCACATCAGGAGCAGCTCCTCTGGAAATAGCAGGGAATTTTCCTGTTATTTTCCTGCCTGTTCTTCAGGGAGAATGGAAGGAAAACATTTCCCAGAGAGGAAAAATCACCTTCCCCATGGATAAATTCCTTCCTTTCTCCTGCCAGGCTGTGTGGGTGCTTTCCTTAAAATAAAATCCAAATTTTTTAGCTCTTCCTGCTCCAAACAAAATCATTGGGAAGTTTGGGCAAACAGCTTTGATTTCCTGAGGGATTTTTTTGGAGCAGCACTGAAAAAGAGGTGAATTTCTGCTCTTCCCTGGCATTTTCCACACTTTTCTAATCCAGGATTTTGCTGCTGGTGAAAGCACACGAGGCTCATGAGGATCCTCATTCCGAAAAGCTCCGGGGTAAAAACAATTTTTGGGAAGGGCTTAGAGGAGGCTCTGGATGGCACCAGGGGAATTTGGGGATTGACGTCAGGGCAAACCCAGAGCTGGTGCTTAAAACCAAAACCCTGCCAGAGAGAGGATTACAGAGCTGGGGGGAAAAACATTCCTGGGAAAATCCTCCCGGAGAGGAGCTCTGGCTGAGGGAGCTCCCAGCCCTGCCCTGAGGATCTTCCCAGCCTGGAAAAGCTGCGGGAGACGGGAACATCTTTGGGGGGTTGGGTTTGGGGGTCACAGGCACGGCAGGGATGGGTTTGTGGGTTGGAGAGATGGGGATGGGGATGGGAATGGGATGGGATGGGATGGGATGGGATGGGATCCATGGGATGGGATGGGATGGGATGGGATGGGATGGGATGGGATGGGATGGGATGGGATGGGAGGAAGGAAAATAGTGGAGGATCCTGGAGGAGATGTGGAGGGTGGGAGATGGGGGATTCTGGAGGAGATGGGGAAGGATGGAATGGAGGATCCTGGAGGAGATGGGGTGGGAGGGAATAAAGGATCCTGGAGGAGATGGGGAGAGATGGAATGAAGGATTCTGGAGGAGATGAGAAGAGATGGAATGGAGGAAGTGTCTGGGTGGGGTTTGGAGTGACCTGGGGTAAGGGAAGGTGTCCCGTGGCAGGGAGTGGAATGGGCGTTAAGATCCCTAAAAACCCAAATCATTCCATAATTCCTGGATCCCTCAATGCCATCCAGGCACAGCCAGGTGACAATGGGCACAGCCGGGTGACAACAGGCACAGCCAGGTGATAACAGGCACAGCCGGGTGACAACAGGCATTGCTGGGTGACAACAGGTGGCAACAGGTGACAACAGACACAGAGCCACCATCACCCATCACGCTCCAGAGGGAACAGGTTCAGCTCAAAGTCATTAATTAATTCCTGCTCGTTAAGGAGGAGCAGCTTTGATGAGATTGCTTTTGGGTTTAATTAAACTCCAGTTTCCCCAGCGCTCCCAGAGCCTGGCTGGGCCCTGGAGATGCCGAGGATCCAACCTGCTCTCCTGGGGACAGGAACCTTGGCAGCCGGGCGGAAAATCTCCTTAAAGTCACCTGGGGTGACCCTGGGGGAGCTCCTGCCACGGGAAGGGCCCTGTGCCACCCCCAGTGCTGGCCATGGGAATGTCCCCATGCCATCTCCAGCCATGGGAATGTCCCTGTGCCAGCCATGGGAATGTCCCCATGCCATCTCCAGCCTCAGGAATGTCCCTGTGCCAGCCATGGGAATGTCCCCATGCCATCTCCAGTCTCAGGAATGTCCCTGTGCCCACTCCAGCCATGGCCAGGAGAAGGTTCCTGTGCCAATTCCAGCCATGGGGAGGTCCCTGTGCCATCTCCAGGGAGAGCCATGGAAATGTCCCTGTGTCATCTCCAGCCTCTGGAATGTCCTTGTGCCACCCTCAGCCATGGGAATGTCCCTGTGCCACCTCCAGCCATGGCCACGATGCCTCCTGGTGACATCAGGAGGTGCCAGCGCTGGGACAAGCCCTGAGCCATGGGAAAGGAGCCGAGTCCGAGCTCACTCTCAAACATTTTTTTTATTAAATTAAATCTTTCACAGAAAAGAATTAAATAACGGCGAGAATTCCAGAATCCAGCCTGGTACAGCCCTTGGACCCCGGAGCCTGGCTCAGGAGCTCTGTGGGACAGTGAGGGGACACCGTCCCTGCTGGGGGGTGGCTCTGGCCAGCACTGAGGGTCCTGGGGACAAAAGAGTCACCAGCTCTTGGGGACAGCCAGACCTGGGGCTCTCTCACCCTGTCCCATCGCAGCCGCTCGGCCCAGAACTGGTCAGGTCACACCATGGAGCCGCTGTCCCCCATTTTCTGCAGGAGCTGTGACAGGGACAGACCAGGATTAGTGGGAACATCCACCTGGCCAGCCCTGGGGACACCAC